TTTCTCGAAACGTCAAAATTTGTAATTTAAAAAAATTTACAGAGTTCGCGGCCAAGAAGCCCGTATCAGTCCACACAAAAACCAAGAAGACTAAGCATGGTCTTAACTAAAAAGAGAAAGAGCAAACTCCCAGCATAGGCAAAAGCTAAGAACTCGGAAGCTGACTTCTTACTCTAGAAACGACCTAAAAGCGCCAAAAAATTAACTTACCATTGAACCTCTAAGGGACCTAGCAAGTTAACAAAACCTAATAAAAAGAAAATAAGACATCCCAGGAAAACATCAAAACAAAACTATGTACAAGCATGCAAACCACAAAAGGCAAATCTCTATAGGCAAACTGAGTGAAGCTGCCAATTCTCTAGAGCCAACCTCATTGTGTTCCTCTCTGACCTATAGGTGTGCAGGAATACCCATAGGTTCCGAGTTCCATATCCAGCCTAATAAGAAGCATAGAAGTGGATTCTGTCATAACTGTAGGTTTGATAGGCATTGTGCATAGGGAGCACCACCAAGTTCTGAAAGTAAGTGTTTCTGCCCTGAGCCCATCCCAAGAGACTGGTGATAGCTTTCAAATCAACTTGGCTCTTGAACAATGAAAGAAAGGATGCTCTTGGGATTCCTCTTCTTTTACCACAGAACTTGCATATCTGATCCAACTTCTAGCCTTTTACATTCAGATCAACAAGGATAGGAAGAATGTTATTCACCCCTTTCCATAGAAAATGCTTGAGTTTCCCTTGGATATTTAAGCTCCAAGTTCTTCTCCTGACTTTCTTCAACTCAGCCTGATGAGTGTTGGTTCCTACAATGTCCATTTTCCATCAGCTATGTTCAAATCAAGAATAAGTTGAGGCTACAGAGTGTTTACCTGAGGTATTCCAAGCCCAACTCAACCGGTCCTGCCTGTGTGGATCCAACCCTGATATGGCCATAATTGGAGTTGCTTCCTCAGTAGTAAAATACTCCTCAATCAGGCTTCAGTTGCATCTCCAACTTGAAGTATCCATGAGGTTCCTAACCCAGATGAGATCATTGTAGCTTGGATGCTTCCCCACTGGTTTGAAATCTGGAAGTTTTAGAACCCATGGCATTTCCCTAATCTTTACTGTCTTTCATCTCTAATCTGATACAGAAGTCCTTTCTTGAAGCTATATAAATGTTTCCACCAGGTAGCCCACAACCAAGAGCTGTTTTTCTTATGCTTTGCTGAGAGTAGAGGAACATCATGGAAGTATCTCCCTTTGAGAATCCTGCTGGCCAAGAGGTGGGGTTGGGTCATAATCCTCCAAAGTTGTTTAAAGATTAATGCTTTGCTGAAAGTATGGAGATCATGAAATCCTAGCCCTCTCATTTCTTTTGGCAATGTGATGTATTTCCATTGTTTCCAATGAATTCCTTTGTTACCATCATTTTTAGAGTCCCACCAAAAGTTAGAAAATACTGAGGATATTCTCTGGGTAACCGACAATGGCAGGAGTAAACATGATATAGTGTAGGTTGGCAAAGCTCCCAGAACTGATTTCAAAAGTACTTCCCTTCCTGCAAGAGATAAAAACTTGTTTTTCCAATTGCAAATCCTTTTTTTTTTTTTTTCACAGCATCTTCCACAAAAAAGAAAGTAGCATTCTTATAACTGCCAATACCAAGGGGCAGCCCTAGGTATTTTGAGGATATTTGGGGGGTGATTCCTAGTAGGATATGACAAATTTGGCCTTGGAGGGTTTGAGGGGTATTTCTACTAAAGAAAATGGAGGATTTATAAGTTTACTTTTTGTCCTGAGATGGATTGGTATTTTTGGAGGATGTGAAGAAGGGTACAAGCCTGCTGAGGCTCAACTTTAAGAAAAAACAATGTATTATCAGCAAAAAAGAGGTGTGTGAGATTGGGGCAGTTTTTACTAAGCTTAATCCCTTTCAAAGTCCCTGCAGACAACTCATAGTTAATCTAATGAGTTAGAATTTCATATATCAAGATAAATAGGTAGGGTGACAGAGGGTCACCCTGCCTGAGGCCCCTAGATGGGTGGATATAGCCAACTGATTCACCATTCAAATTAAAGGAAAAAGAAGAGGTAGAAATACTCTCATAATCCAGAACACAAACAAAGGATTAAAGCCCAATTTAAGCAACATTAACCTCACACTTTCCCATTCAACCCTATCAAAGGCTTTGCACATATCAAGTTTGATAGCCATGGAAAAGTTTTTACCAGTTCTGTGGTTCCTCATTCTTTAGCCATTTGATCCGAGATTTCTGTTCCTAATATTTTTCCTCCATGGCATAGGCTTCGGTCAGCTCTTGATTAAGCTTGTCCCACAGCAGTCAGTTTTGTAACGCCCCACTTTTGTTTTTAAAGAAATTCCAGACTTTCAGAAAAATCAAGATAACATTTTCGAAATCAACTTTAACATGGGCATTATCGTGTTTCAAGTCATATTTGAAACTTCACGGGGATTCATTACTCGGCTTTTCACATGGACTTCATTGCCCCAAAGCATAACAATTCACATGATATTCAAATAGCACAACAATCATGAATATCCCAACATAGTTCAAAAATATGAACCAAATCACAATTTCAAAATCCGACATTTTCAAACGACATGATCTGAAAGAAATCAACATGTTCATACCTAGTTCAACTTATTCACAATAAAGCGGAAGCAATTTAAAACATAAATAAGGCCACCCACTCGTCCTTTCATCGTCATGTCCGCCCCTACTCAACCTGGGAAAGAAAATTGGGGATGAGCACAATTGGAATCCATGGTGCTCACCACTATGCAATAAATCATATATAAAGACAGATAGACATGGTCGCAGCATGAACACGAATCATTCAAATATCACATCTTCTAATCATCATTATACTCATGTGCACATTTATTATAGACCATTGAAGGACATACTGCTCACAACAATGGAGTATATACCGAAGGACATACAGCTCACATCGGCCTTGCCTATCATTAGGCTATGGGAGACTGCCTATCATTAGGCACCGTCGAAGGTCAAAACCGCTCACGACGACGGGGATAACCGTTTCGAAGGTCAATACCGCACACATCGAAGGTTACATGGTTCACATGCATACATTGATCATACCATCCAACATTTATAAAGAATTTAAGGCATAGCAAATTTTAAATAGGGTAAATAATTTTTTCCAACCTGTACTATACGTGCTTTTGAAATTTTCAACCTAAAGTATTTTTTATTGTAAATTGCAACCTGAACTACATATAAAGTCACTATTTGCACGCTCGACCACATCTTGACCATACACGTGTCCTTTTTTGTGGATGATCA